CGATCATGGTAATCTTTTACTTCCTGTCTATTGACCATGTTCTGGAAAGTGCTTCCATAGCACTGTCTACAGACGTCTATTGGCACTTACCACACTGCACTCTACATTCCTCATGTCTGAGTCTGTCTCCCTGGATACAGACTGTGAAATCCCTGCAGGCTCGGACTGTCTCTGATTCATCCAGGTCCCCGGGGCCTAGCAGAGAGTCTGGCACATGGTAGACAGTAATGTTCAATGCAGGAATTTACTGTCTGTGACTAAGATGAGGACATGAAGAGTACCTTGGAGGCTCGTGGCTGGGCCTGGGAGGAGGTGTCTGGTGACAATGGTGACAGGAGCAGAGTGACACAGATATGCTTGCAGACTGTGGCGTTCTAGGTCTACCAGGGATATGATCCATCCTGAGGGATCTGGGACAGAGATGAGGATGTCCAGCATCTCTGGGGATCCAAGCATCTGAAGTGGCCTCTGTAGCTACAGTGGCCAGAGAGAACCCAAGGAAGAGCAGGACCTCATCAGCTTGGAAGGAACTCTGTTGTCCTCCATGTGGCAGGCACAGTGTGGGTAAGGCTGGGCCAGCAGCATACATCATCTTTGAAGAGCCTGGCTTCCCTGACTCATCCACTGCCCTGTAGTGCCCTGGACTTTGGGGCACTGAAGGATGGTTCTTGTGAGCAACAAGGCTAAGCCAGCAATTTCATTCCCTTTCTTGAGAGGGAAAAATCTCCATCAAAGCTCTTGAGGAAGGTCTTTGCGGACTAGATTTGCGGAACACCAGACCCTGGGGAAAGATCAGGCCAGCAGGCATGCAGGAACCTGAGAAGGCCTTGCAAGCCAAACTAAGTAAGTCAAGTCACTGGAGAGTCTCCGAAAGGTCTTAGGTTGGAGGAGTCTTATAAAAGCCCACTCCAGAGCTGTGTGGTGAATGGAAGGGAGGGAGCCTGACTAGAAGTGGCCTGGAAAAGTGCCTAGGAAACCAAGCACAGCACTTGGTGACAGTCAGCTTGACTGACTAGGAGGGCCCCAGATGACTGAGTGGAGTGAGCAGGTTATGGGTAGGAAGAAGATGGGCTCAGTTTTGGACACAAGGAAGTTTAAGGTGCTATGGGGCATCTGGGTGGAGCTATCCCGTAAGTAGCTGAATATGCAGGTGGGGTGGGAGGCAGAGGCCCAGCTGGAGACAGAGGTTGGGGAAGGAGTCCCAAGGATGGGGGAGAGGGGGGACTGAAGTCACAGAGTGGAAGAGATCCCAGGAGGAGAGTGAAGAGAAGAGGTCCCAGGACAGCCCAGGGGAGCATCAAGGGAGTTTCCTGCCCTGAGAGCAGTCTGAATACTGACTGCTAGGGGCTAGCTAGGGGAGTCTAAGAAGCATGCAGAGCCAGCCTGCTCCCTCGCACCCACAGGTCCGGTCCCACACCTGTGTTCCCACTTGCACACCCCTGCGCTCCAAGCGGGGGGCACGCCCCGCAGCCCCTTTTTGCTCTGCCCCCCACGGCCCCGCCCCTCCCTGCAGACCCCGGGGTTAATCCTCCCCTCCCCCAGATTAGGGGCGCTGCCCCCCTTTGTACGCCCAAGTGCCCGAGGCGAAAGCCCTGGAAGGCTCACGGCCATCCGGGCAGCTGAGGTGGGGAGGGCGGAGTGGGGCGCGGGGAGGAGACACAAAGAGGGGGAGGGACCCCGGCTGCAGCTGTCCCGCGAGGAGCCGGGACAAAGGGCCTGCTGGCGGGCCGGCCCGAGCCGTTTTCATGCTTGTTGGGATTAGGCGCAGGAAACGTCGCTCCCAGTCGTGCGGATCAGCAGTCCGGGGCGCGCGGGCGCGTGGGGCGGGCTCGGCCCCACCCGCCCCCAGCTTTGTGCGGAGCCCCGGCTCCGGGCGGCGCCGGGCTCCGGGGAGGCCGCCCCTTTGTCTGCTCCTTTCGGGGGG